CATTGTTTATTTATTTCAGTACCATATAAATGTAAAGGCCTGATGAGAATTTGTCGAAAACAAACGTATGTTCACCAATTTATCTTCTTTTGTAATTAAAAAAATACTTGGGAACCAACCAACATGGTATAATTTGGGTTGAAAGTTTACCTTGACACCTGTCTATGTGAAATACGACACCTAGGTGCTCACTTGTGGGATGATATACTTAAGGAGCAGTCATTGGAATATGTTTGTAAACCGATAAAAACAATAATAAGTAAGATGTCTAAAGGATGGTGTGTGATTGACAGCCGGGAAAAGTTAAAACAGAAGGATTTCGAAAAGTACGTGTTACGAGTTCGAACGCCATATCCAACGAAGTCCAAATTACAAGGTATGATTAACTGCCTGTGGTAATCATACAGTGGATTCTAGATCGCTTGCTTGGTGATCACTGGTTGGACGGTCAACTTATTGTACCGAACAGTAGTGGGATTAAAATCAAGGATTCATGTCTAGGCCTCGTAAGTCATGTGGCGCGAGCGTCGCTTGTTAACTAGCTTTTCACTGCACCAACGATCACGGGTTGGACTTCCACCGAGGCCTCCGAGTTTTTCACCACCATGTTCGATGAAAATATTATTCCCTCATACCTTTCCTAATACAAAGCCCTTATGCGTCCTGGCACAATCCACACCAAGACAACGGCCGTTTTCGTACGTCTTAAAATTGTTTGATTTACAATGAAACTTTTTAGTAAATAGTGGGCCTCTTCGTAAAATAAGTGATAAACCTGGTACTTTGGAGGAAAAGAACAAAGCTTGAAACCTACGAGAGTCAAAATCATTTTCCTGTGTTTCGTTTTCTACAGATTTCGATTTCCTAGCACTGTTTGACTGCAAAGCTTCGGATTCCTAAAGCTGTATTCAGAAATTATCGAGAAGAAACCTCAAAAGACTTTTCCAGCTCGCTAACAAGGGCGAGAATATCCCGCTCTTTCTCTGCAGATAAGACCTTCTTCGGTTTGTTCTTCTTATACTTTTCTATCGCTTCTAAAGTTAAGCCGTCCACGGGAATATCGGCAAGCTCTTCGTAGTCAACAATCTCTTCTTGTTTTTCTGAGGATACCGCGGAAGCTGATATTTCTGCTAACTTTTCCTCTACAACTTTAACTGGGCTTGAACTGCGACTTCTCTGAAATGACCAGCAATTATTGAAAAATGAATTTGATAACAAACTTGGGGGAGAATCTTCGCTAACATACTCTTCCATTTGCCGTCCGCATTCCCCTCTGTGGAACTACATGCATCAGCTTCGATTATTTTGCGACATTTAGCTAAATTAGCCTTAGGAATGGTAAGTCTGTTGCGCAGAACTGCATACCTTTTCCTTGTTTATGTTAGTTAAAATCTTTTTCTTCTTCGAAGCAAACATTAATATTGGTTTAACTTCCTTCTTCTGCAAGCAAAAATATTACACTCGCTCATGTATCACACAACCTTATCGAGTGACTGGGCGCTTCTCAACAGCGTATCGAGCTGCGAGTCGAGAGTTTCCAACCTAAATATAGTTTACAATTTTAACACGTCCCCACTGAGTCCGAACATCTTCGGTTTGTATACCCTCCTTCCTCAAAAGTAATTTTTCAAGTTGAGAAATCTACGAAGTTCTTATTGTGTCTACTGGGTACCTTATCAGATAGAGACTTGTATTCCTCGTTCAAATTAACCAAGGAAACCTCCATGTTACGGTTGATAAACTTTCTAGAGCCCGCAAAAAATAATTTATTTAGTGGATGACCGGATTACTGGACTAATCGGTGCACTGGGAACCGATAACAGTGACGATGCAAATGAAACTGATAATGCAAGGCAAATCGTTCCACAAGTTTTTATTTATTTAGCGCGCAATAAAAGGACAACAAACAGCTTGACATGATTTAACAAAAACTCTGAAATATAATGAATGACGACAAAATGGTCAAAATAGACTCGAGCTAATTAAACAATATAAATTTGCAAAAAATCAAAAGTGGGAATGCAGTCGAATGACGAAAGTGGAATTTTCTAAGCAATTGCCATAAATTTTTCATACCCACAGAACTAAACAAACTCTTGGCTCTTCGCAGCGTTGTTTTTCACCCGGTCGCTCTTGTAAAAATTGCTCATGCATTATTTGATCGTTAAACTTACCTTCGAAATGGTTATATATATCTGGTTGTTATCTATTTCGACGCGTTGCCTCATAGGCGACCCATATTTTAAATGGAAGATCTAGCACTTCGTAGTTCTCTTGATTATTTCAATAAGTCATAAATATCTAATCGCAAAAGAAGTTCCTTACTGGGCCGTCATGTTCAACTAAGCCCACTCGTGTAAGCTATATTCTGCAAAGAACAAAACTTAGTCATCTTATTTTTTTTAACAATAATGTTTTATCGACAGTTAAACACCCAATTTTCTTTTTATGCTGACGACCTCAAATACATGTATTCCTTGCTAATACAAGCGTACACGCGAGTCCCAGGAAGCAATTAAGAAGAAGAAGACTCGATCGCTGGGACAATGCGTTTATTCGCCTGATGTTTCGACATCATGCATGCATTACCCGTTTCTGCTACTATTTCCGAC